AAAACCGGAGCCCGCGGGTCTCCCCTCAGGAGCTCTCCTTCACCCAGCGCCCGCCGCCGGCACCAGGCAGCTCCCCCACACCGCTGCCCAGGTCAGCTCTTGTCGTGTTTTAAATCTTCGCCCGTGATGCAGAAGTTAAAACTCTCTTACAGCTCACGGTTACCTAGCCAGCGACGAGACAGAGCAAACTAGACCGAGGAGATCACATAAGGCCCCACCATTTGCAGTTTTGTCCATCTGCTTTCTCTGAACAACTGTGTCTGCACTTCACTACGAATCCGGAGATGGGCTTCACCTATTTTGTATTCCCTCTTGTTTTCCCATTTGCCAGAGCCCCCAGAAGGCTAAAAATCTACATAAACCAATAGTACTCTTTCGTTTCTAACGCCACCACTTGAATTCAGGGTATCGGTTTCCTGAGCACAAGCAGCACAAAGTGAAAGCCAGCCCAAGGCATGCAAACGCATTCCTTAACCACCAACCTTCTTTTCATTGCTAAATCTACACAGCTTTGGGATCCCAGAGAGTCTGAAGTCCTACTGCTATCAAATAAGTGTTTACATTTTCATTTTCTCTCAGGCCCTTGCTTCTGTTCCTGTGTGAGGTACAACCCAACACTGGTCATGCCATAAGCATGCCAGTTACATGTCCAATGTATAATTTACATTCTTCTATAGCAATTTCTGAGGTAGCTTTTGTTCATGGACTTGTTGCTCAGGCTGAGAACCTCATTAAACCCACAAACCTGCCGCAGTGTCAAGCACACAACAATGTCACAACGTCACCAGGCAGCAGGGTTTAGCCCAATTTGCACTCTTAGATCCAGCTTTTTATCTGCATCTCTTTTATATTCAGTTGTACGCTTTCATATTCAGTGGTGCAGCTGCACAGGCTCAGAACCATGTTCTAGACACAGTACGATACAGACTCACCAACAGCAGGAGACAACATTGCCTAACCTCATGTACACCTTTATACTCAATTTGCATTCCAAATCTTGTAAAGCTACCTTTAGAGTGCTTACATCAGGCTAGTTTTGCAACCTCTTACAAGGTTGCAAAGGATTATCATAGTTCATTAAATACATAAATGTACAGATACATGTTTTCGGCTAGGTTATTTCACTATCCCCCTTTGTGATATTGGAAAAAACACCTTTGGATTCTGCCATATATACAAACACTGAGAATCTAGCAAAGACATCTAGTGTGTCTTCTGCACCAATATTCACTCAGCCTGTAGCATTAGGAGTGTTAACATCTCACCCACTCTTCATCCCACCTCTTATTTATCAGTTGTTGATGTGAAAGTGCTTACTGAAAAGGACACGAAGAATTTACATTTTATTGGTGGAGAAATGGATGCAGAGGTATGTTAACTTTCAGTCAGTCCTTTCCAACCCACAGCTCAGTACAGAGTAATCAACCATAACCCCTTAACACATTCACCTACCCATGTCCACTCCCAAGAACAAAACCTATCTCCATGAGGAACTTGAAGCTCCTATTTTGAGTCTGCTGGTATAAATGAACATATTTATAAGTGAATTGAATTACAGCATAAAAAGAAATTTTAGGTAGGAGGCCCTACACTGCCTCTATACTGAAGACAGATGGAGAAAGACTCCTTTGAAAGGTGCTTCAGGGAAGATGAACAGCCTAATTGTTCCAAGCCATTGTCTGGATGGGTTCCTTTCTCCAAGGGTAAGGGAAAGAACTTGAGAACCTACAACTGGATGGCATTCATAGCAAGTGAGCATATGCATTTGCTTAAATTATTGACCTGCTATTGTCCAGTCCTTCCTTTCAAATTATAACATGTATTAGGCATTCAGTTTAGCTATTCAGCTCTAGAACCAGTTACATGTATCTGAAGAAGACACCAAGGTGCTGCTGAGTAATGTTAGACTAGGGCTGGAGACTAAGTAAAGTCCATCTTAGGAAGCAAGGGCACACATGACTTCTGCTGGTGTAATTCCCATTTTATTTAGGATGATGAAAACTTAAGAATATCAAAGTACTGATATACTGGATCATACCAATATTCAATCGCGTTATTAGTAAAAATAAGTTTTTAGCATCTTACTTGTATCTTCTCTGAAGGCATCTGTCCTCACCCATCCATTTCATACTAGACATCAAGAATCTAGCATTATGCTGTCTGTCCCATTTTCCTCTGTCCCAGGTGACCTTCATTTATATGACTATTCAGTCCCACAACTAGCTTCTAACAAGTCAGTTTTAAGTGAACACCTGATTAGAAGCACAATTCAGTAAACAATTATACTTGTAATACCTTCCACAAGTGTTGATTTCATTAAATTTTAGTTATTTTTTGTTTGTTTTTATTTTTCTAACAAACAAACAAACAACTCAGTCAAAACAAATCTAAAGCTAAGATGTACTTTGAAATGCTAAAATCCTAGCTCTGGAAAACAAGCAACATAGAGGAGGTTAACCTGAGGTGTGCACTCTTTGAAAAAGTAGTTTTAGAAAACAGACAGTGATGCAGGTAAGAATGTTATTTTAAATTGGAGAGGTTTTCTTGTTCAGAAAATTGAAAGCAACTCCTGCCAGTGCCAAGAACTTCTCTATATGATTCTTCAGCTGCCCACTGTACAGTTATTTACAATTCTACATACATTTGGTCCTGACCTCCGATAACAGCGTACACAACTAGAACATGTCAGCTTCCAAAGAGTCCTGAGGCTTCTGTGTGGGGTGTTTCAAAGTTACACAGCCCCAGTCCAGTAAGTTGTACACCTTGCACTTCAGCCATAATCGTGTGTGGAAGGAAAAGCTGTTAAATCTCAGCCAAGTTTAACCTGACAAAGGTTAATGAGCCTTTTATTCAATCCAGGATTTCCAGCATTTAGCTCCAAACCAGACTGGATGTCTCCTCTGTGTCCAGTGACATATGCTTAAGTCAGCACTATCCAAATGGCTACTCAAAAAGAGAAGTTATTTTCAGCTAGGTTAGTTCTTTGCCCCAGTCTCACAGGCAGGATTCCATTCTTGCTTAAAGACAGCTTAAGGTCAGCTTAAAGACACGTCAAACTCACAGCGAAGTCCACAGCATTCAATTTTACCTAAATGTTATTTTTATGGTCCTCTCCCTTTCTCCCAAAGCTTCAAATGTATAGAGGCAAGATTTCACAAGATGAGTATTTAAAAAGCAGAAACTATCTTGGATGGAATCTTTCAACATCAGAAAGCTTCAGAAGTCTTGAAGTACGGCTAATTATGCTGCAATCCAGTAACTCCACTCTGCAAGTCTGTGCAGGACAGCAGGCTCTCAAGACATCTCTCTGCTTGAGAAAACAGTTGTCTTCAGCTGGTGGCAACCTCCGAGATAAAGCTTGCAAGAAGACATCCTATTAAATAACTGCACTTGGCTTCTTCATTTGAGAAAGGAGTCTGGTTCCTGCTGTATACCTCTTCTTTCTCCCTATCTGTCAGCAGCTCCTGGGTGCAGGTCATCTTATCAGATACAAGGTGCACCAAAACAGCTTTAGATTATTGTCTACTAAGTACCACACAACTCCCTCCCTTCTGTATTTTTTTAAAGCAGCATAAGAGGATCTGGACTGGAAAAGAAAGCACAAAAGGGTACACCAACAAGTTGTGATACCACAGTATGCAGGAGAGAGAAGGCGCTGTGAGTTAGGTGACAACCTCATACCTACACTTCAGCTCCTCTTCCTGTTTAAGCTAAGTTTGGAAATGTCAAAGGCATCTTTGGACAAAATAAAAACAACTTAAAAATAGAAAATTCCAAACAGCGAACTCAAATGAGTTCATTTATAGTTCATAACCTGACTGGAAAGAAGTCTGAAGAATTTAATCAGAGACTTCAACTATTAAGTGAAAAAGAAGTAGAATAAAAATGTCAATTCATTTGACAAAACATCTGTTGAAGCCTTACTACAAATATCCTATTAATTCTTTGCCAAGTATCATGTGGTATTTTAGGATGTTTTTATGATTTCATATCAAAATGATACATGAAAATACACAAGCAAACATCCAGCTTCTCATCCAGTCAAAAAGAGAGCTTTTAATACACGAGTTTCAAACTTACAACTCCTATGCAGCTACAGAGTAACCGTGCTCCTCCTATGTAGGAAACCACTTTTCACATCCCCAATATGGAGTGCTAATACATCCTCATCAGAAAAGGAATCAATAAAAAATAAACGTGTTATCAATTAATTTCAAATTCAAATGATTTCCAGCACTTCAATAGAGTATGTCTGAGAGTCCTTCTGGTGGTTAAGTCTTTGTAATTCTCGCAAACTTCCCTCAATCTTGTTGAGTTCAGAGTAGAATCGTACCTAAAAAAGAAAATACAGGTATTGGCAGTAAAAGAATTTTTAATTCTTTAATACTGTGGAACTATCTGTGGCTCTGCATCGTTTCAGGTATTTAAACCAAACAAATACAGCAGCTTTAGAAATCAGAATGAGAAAGTGAGGCCACTGTCATTTCATGCTCTGGAAGGAGCATACAGAGAACAGGCATTATATGATTTACTGTATAATTTGTTGTTACCCCCCTCATTCTAAATCCATACTAAAATGAAATAATCATCCCAGAAGATGCAACTTACTTGGGCTCTCACAAATTTATGCAGGCTTGAAAGCAACTCTTTTGCTTCTGGTAGCATCACCATAACTGTGAAGTGAGCATCAAGTAATAGGCACATCCAGTCCATAATCTGAAGACAAAGAAGAAAAGTACACTTAGGCTTGATGATATGCAAATGACACAAACTTGGCTTTAAAAGCTCAACTCTGAAAAATCAAATTCTAATGCAAAATGCACAGTTTCAGATTTTAAGGAAGTATATTTTCCAGTAATAAAAAGTTCTGTGTTACATCTGACTTCTTACAGGTTCTATTAGCAGACAATACTTTGTAGAATGAATGTAGATCTCAGATGATTTGAGATGTTCACAACTACTCACTAAGTTACACAGCACAGAAACCAAAGTGCAACTCTGAGAACAAGCTTCTCACCTGATTTATAGTTGGATAAGAGCGGTGTTGATTTTTTCACTGCATTTCACATACAGGTAGTATAAATACCTAAGAAACAGCTAAAAGTAGAAAAGTCAAAATATTTTTAAAGGACAAATATTTAATAGACTGCAAAGTTTTGTCCTGCAAACCACAATACTTGATTTTTTTTTTAAATTTATATTTTAAAGCTACATAGATGCCTATACACTACACATTAAAAATAAATTTTATGTTTTTCCTACACCACGTAACTAGATGTTTGAAAATTATCAGCAGTATTCAGTATAAAGCTACACCAAGGTGTAATTATTATTCCAATCATTGTATCAGTGCAATGTATTTCAACATAGCCTTTTACAGGAGCTTTGCTAAAAGCTGTATCAACATTCAATATTTCAGTCCCTGTTATGGGTTATAAAGAGGGTTTCTTCTATTTTCTACAATAAGCAAGAATTACAAAAATTAACAAAAGTTCCATATGTATGTGTAAAAATGGGACACTGATTAACATCAAATCTTACTAGGCATCTTAATTTCATTGTCATGCCTTAGTTTGTGACTCAGACTCCAGTAAGAGTAGCAAGTTTCTGACATACAACTGAAAAACTCTCTTCCCTTTCTCTCCCCCAAAACTAACAGTAAGGGTTTTAAAACTTTTAAATCTACTTACAACAGCTTGCTGAGCTGGAAGGTTTTTCAGATGAGGCAAAAGGAATGTTTCACTGTAAGCTGTACGGAGAACAGCATTTCTGTGCAGTGCTATTAAGGACATGAAACTGTAGGAAAAAATACCAGTTGCTACAAAGCAAAGTGAATTCTAATTAAACTGCTTCTCCGGGTTCCTTGAGAGGAGTCCTATTTTAGCCCTCTGAATCTCCCTTATTTCTGTCATGAAACACATGCAGCAACAGAAATTTTCAACAGTAATGGAAGATAGGTCTTTTAGCAATACTAACTCTAAGCATTCACATCACATTCCACACACTGACTGTCCTTCATGAGAACAGAGAGGATACAATAGTGCTGCCTTCTGTGGCCCAACAGGGCAGAACTCACAGCCAGTTGTCAGCTGGGTTTCCTTCCTGAATTTACTGTCCCAGATTTCTTGTTCCACCGCTGTCCTGAAACCATTCTCTACAACTTCAGTCTTAACTTCTTTATTGTTTAATTCAATATCAATGTAACAGATTACAGAGTCTAGATCCACATCTATGTTTTGAAGACAGGCTTCACTGGTGCTGTACAAGAAAATATCAGGCATTTAACACTTTTGGTTATTAGCTTTAAAGTAAGCAATTCCATCAACCCAACAGTAGTACACATTACAAGCTATTTGAAACTTACAATAAAAGTGAAAAAATATACTAAAATGTAGTCTTGCAGAATGAATAAAGGCCATAGGAGAACAGTTAATATTTTGTAGTTATTAATCTTGAATACATACTGCTCTTTTATTCCAGCAATATTAGTTACTGGATTATTATTCTGTCATGAGCTGATTTAAAGGTTCTACTTAATTTGAAACTGTTCCTGTATTCAAAACCTAGAGAAGTAGTTACAACAGTCTTTTCTTTTGGTTACAGAGCCTGCCTAAGATGTCATCCTTTTTGGGATATGAAAACTATTTTTGCTGTGAACTTAGAAGAGTTTAGATCTTTTCCTGTGGGCTTCTTACCCCAGGTAAGTTCCCAGTTAAAGTTGTTGCCCAGTAAACAGACAGCTGTGACATCATACCTAGAAGGACGTGAATGCCATTCAAACTAGTAACATTACCAAAAGGCATGTTGGGTTAATTACCATTTACAGGATTTTTAGAATCAAAACATGCAACAGACATCTTGTAAAAAATTTGTCAGTCTGCAAGACTGCAACATACGCTGCACTCAGAATTAAGAATTTAATGCACAGTATTAATTGCTCATTTATAAAATTAAAGCCATTCTTGGCAGCATACAAGAAGGGGAAAAAAACCCCACGACTGATTCCAACTTACCTTAAAAATACTTTCAAGCAAGCATAAGTAATTTCTTCAGGAATATCTGGAAACCGTTGTAAGCAGATTTGTAAAAGATACATGTCTTTTTTCTCCAAAGCAACCATCATCAAATCTGGACATAAACTGCAAGAACATGAAAAGAACAGGCTGCATATTTCACACCCACTCAAAACTACATTGACAACTAATACAGAAATATTAATCTTGATTGCCACAAAAATCCATCTGGGGAGTGGATTTTTCTTCATCAGAAAACAAGCCTAAGCACCTCCAGGAGTAAATTCTGATAATTCAAGACTCTTTTATAAAGAACTAAATTTCTACTTCTTTTTTCTTTGTTTAATTATGTTTAAAGACTATTCCTTACAATTAAAAACGTGCAGAATCATCACCTGTAAGACAAGTCCCGGGTTTCAACTATCTCTATCAGGAGATCTTGAGGGTAGTACTTTGGATGTGTTTTACATCTGTTTATCAGAGCAGTCACTACACATCCAATGGTGGCTTGCAAATCTGGCATCTGGGCTTTTGACATCAATTGTTTCAATTCTTCTTCAAATTTAGCTGTAGTAGTATCCTGAAAATAACAAATCCAGGGCAACTCAGAAGTACAAGGCACAGGTTTGAGAACTGTACTGTGACTAGTTAGTCCAAGTAGAAACAGAATTTGAAATTCAAGCTAAAATAAATTCCATAGAAGCCCTCACCACTCTGCTTTTTGGTAGCCTTGCTCAAGCACCAAAGAGCCAAATGAGGGTAATTACTCTGTGAACTCAGGGAAGCAGTATCTTTAAGTAATGGCTCAGGGGTTATTTGCCTGTTCCTTCACTAACATGACCACAGTGTTGAGCCACAGCTGAACTACAGTTAGTCACACAGAAGAGATGAAACCTGAAGTATCACAACACTTGCAGCAAGTTTTAGAAAGGAACTAGACAGCTTATTTTTGTATTTACAGTGAAATTCCCAGCATTCTGATAGTCTAGATCCAAAATGACTCCAACAAAATTAAAGCCATAAATAAGATTATAAAAAAAGCTGAGCTCAGGTGAAGTATTCTCCCATCTTTATTTACCATAATATTTTCATTAAAAATGAAAAAATCTGTGTATATGGTTTTAGAATCCAGATAGCTATCATAAGCCCTGTGTTGCACAGGTCTAGAACACACTCCTATGACAAAACTCTAATTTCATCATGTCCAAATACTATCCTAGCACAGGAATACGCTCCAGCTCACCTTTAAGGCAGCTTTGTCAACTTGATATGTGCAAGAGTATACGGAAAAAGATAATAGCTTAAGAGACACCTAGAATATTCTGAGAGCTTCTAAAACTCTGCTTTAGGATATCTGGTTTACTTACTTTTAGATTTAGTAAGAGCTGCCCAACTGATAAGGTATTTGGCTGTTCTTTAGCAACAGTGCTCCTTTTTGATCTCAACTATAAGGAAAAACCAAAAGTTGTTATTCAGCTCCAAAAAGATGGTCTATATTTAAAGATTTTAATCAAGATAATGAGGAAATTCATGTGCCAACTTGCTGCACAGATTACATTTAATAACTGGGTAGCCCAATTCCAGAAACAGCATTAGAAACAATGAGTGGCAAATACAAAGTGAAATTTCTTCTGCTATAATACCTAAAAGTTAAATTAATAGCATGGGGAAGAGGCAAGAAAAACAACCAAAAACCTCACGTGGTCCTCATGCCAACTTACAGTCATTCTGGACTCTGATTTTAGAGCTACAGGCTGCTCTGACTGAAAGGAAACCACCAGTTCTTCCTCTTCCAGGGTATCCCAGTTTACAAATGAAGACATATCTGGGAACACAAAAGTAAAACTGTATGCAGGTAACACTTAAAGCACATTTATTAAAGTATAAATATTGCATCAACCTCTTATACTAACAGGTATTTTCTAAAGCATAACCCATGTTACTTTATGCCAAGAAAGTTTCCAGTTTTATCTTGGGAGCAGGTCATTTTATGACCCTTTTTGCATAGTGCAAAAAAGGTTTTCCATTTTTCCAGGTTTAATTTTTCCATGTTTAACCATTTAGCCTCTGGGAGGAAGAGAAATAAGTTATTACACCATTTATTGTGAGCATTACTTGCAACATTTTACCAGTGCAATGCTAAATTAAAGACACTATGACAGCACATTTTTAAAATGAAAGTTTACAAAATAAGGTTTGACATTGCTCCACCTCATCATAAATTCCCTGAATTTATAGAAGACAGCACTTCATTGTGGATTTTAGTATTCATAGCAAACATTCCAGTATTTTCAGTAATGCCAGTACTTGAATGAAAACCCAAGTTAAGTGGAATCACAAGAAATTCAGACATTTGTGTGCTCTGGTGATCTCAGCAACAGTAAATTTAACAGCTAGGAACAGAATACAGCATTAGGCTACCTCATGCTGTTTGGATTCCATTTATTTTATAGGACTGTATCAAAATAATTTTTTATACAATTTCGGAAGTTTTAATTTCACAAAATTTTTTCAGTGTAATTATAAAAATTCTTACCAGGAGTCTGACTGTCCTTGAGCTTTCCTACAGCAGCTGCCAAGGATGATGTTTCACATTTGTACATAATCACCGTTAGCACTTTCCCATGAGTGAAAAAAAACTTTTCCTCATAACACCACAACTACAAAATATTAAAACACAGCGTTAATGAGGAAGTGAGCAGAGAAACATGGTCCTGCACAAGCTGATGTGTAACTCCTTTCTGCAAAGTTCAACTAAAAGTCAGCCATCAGGTTGTTAAAAATTATTCTTGGTAGGTTTAACCCTTGTTAGCAGTGCCTCATTAACTGTTGATTTTAAATACACAAATAACAGAGCGTTTCTTAAGGGATGTCTTACAAGGACCGTGGCTGTTCCAAGGCATTGAGCTCACTAGTTCATTTGAAATTCCCTCTTGTGCAATTTTAAGGCAAAACCAGTCAGCTGTTGTGTCTCACTTGTGCATTTATTACATAGGTGTCAACTGACTTCCTGACACCCAAACATCTCTAAACACTGTTTAGGGGAGATGCAGGGATCATTTATGCCATCAATTGCAAACAGTCTGAAGAAAATAGAGCAGGGGGTTTCTGTTTAATTAGCTACTTCATTCTCACCGAATAATCAAGACCATCAAAAGTGAGAAGAAAATTTAGCAGAGAAATCGCCACAGGCCACCCCTCTGCTGCTAAATATTCTGGCAAAAACTGCTCATCAGCTGTTCAGTATTATTTCAGAAGCTGGCATCTGCTGCTCTTCCAGACAGAAGCAGAACTCTGAAGCCCACCAGGCTCTTCACTGCTACCGTGCCAAAGGCACAAAGTGGGCCACAAGTTAAAGATGGAGCTTACCTGTCCACTGGTTCCCAGGGGCAGCTCCTTGGAAGTTTGCAATGTCTGAAATTTTGTATTCCATATTGTTAGGCACTCTAGGGAGAATAAGAGAAGTTACAGACCCAAAATGCAATATACATGCTACATTTGCCTTGGCTACACTGAGTTAAAAATACTTGAGGAAGTAGAAATAACTCTTTCAAAATAGCTCAGTTAGTAATGAATTCAACATCAGGAATTAAATCAGGGTAGTTAGATCTCAAAAAAAAAAAAAAAAACCAAACTGAAAGTGAGCTAAAGTTCCAGCAAAGAGCTTTAAACATGAGGCTGTGGCAAGCCCTAGGGACTGCAGCCAGTATGGCTTCCAGGCAGGAAATCCCTTTTGTCCTAAAATGCTCTGTTCAGTGCCTTAAGTTTCAGTGATCACATACTTCAGAAGTTTACACATGAGACTGAAGTGTTTGTTTCCCTGATTTTAGACACTGATTTCTTAGAGGACATGAGGTCTGTTTCCCTGCATAGATTCTTTTACAAGCATCCTCAGTCCCAGAGTTCTGCTACTGCATCTTCTCAGCTGTTCACAAACAGCATGAAAGCAAACACTGAAACTCAACAGTGAGGGAAGTCCTGCAACCCACTATCCAGTTTACTGCTAATGGTTTTCTTTCAGCAAGTGTTCTGAATGCCACAGCTCAACTATGTACTAGTTTCAAGAGCCAACTAATATTTTATTTTCACTATTTCCTGCTTAGTCCTCTGCCCAAGGCAATTTTAGACCATACAACATCTTAACCCAAACTTCCAAGTTACCTTTGGATTCTTCACTAGATGCAGTCAGACTTCCTAATACTGCGATGTGGTCTTTATCAAGAACAACAAAAGAAGTTCCTTTTAGAACACTTCCAGATACTGAGAGGTTTAGTAGTAGAGACTTGGACAAAATTGGCTCTTCCTCTTCAGTGTTTTGTTGCAGAGGTATCAGAACTTTGTACACAGAGTCATTGGAATCTGTCAAAGAAAAGTGATGATGCTTTATCATCTGTTATTGTGGAATAAATATTTGATATGATATGGCAAGAGGACATCCAAAGAGAACAAAATCCAGTGAGTGCTCTAAAAAGAAATAATACAGAATATTTAAAGCATACATTATGATGCAAAGCAGCAAAATAAAAGGATAGCTAGCATGAGATCTGCAAAGTGCAACTGTAACATTTAGGTACAGTCACCCTTTGCAGTCATTAAAATATCAGGAAGATTTAATTACCGCTTCTACCACTTGCCAGTTTAGAAAGTTTAGAGAGTTAAAATTACTAAGGAGTAATTCACTAATATCTTCATGTCCTTCCATACAGTTCTTTGCTTTATTATGACATCTCATTAGAAAGTGTAACTTACACAAACACAGAAGTGTGATTATTTGATCTTTTACATATGCTGTGAAACTCAGTGGTTTAGAGTATTCTTGTTGTTCAAGCTTATATTTATGTAGACTATTCATCTTCGGTTTCTGCACATAGACAAAAAAATCCCCATCCTAGAAAAAAAAACAACAACAAAGTTTTCCTTTAATTTACACAAAGAAAAGATAACAGAAATTCATATATTAGTACAGCTTGACCTTGAACATTAAGCAAAACTAGGAATTATTATTTTCTGTAGGACATACAGCCTAATTCAGAAAAGTCTACAGACTCAAGCACATAAAGGAAATCCTAATTTGATTAAACAAATGGATTCACAGGAAGAAGCATTTGAATAAAGACAAATTAATGTATTTTTTTAAAAGCATAAATCCTACTCAGTAATTTCTTTACAATGAACAAGCATTTGAGGCCAGTGAAGTCACAAAATCCTCTACTGTATTTAAGCTTAACTATTCTCAGAAGTTCTATGAGGCAGGCTCCTCAGCCCTGAGAGCAACACAACTTCAATTTAACAGTTGTATCAGAAACAACACAAATAGAGAATACTGATTAAATCAGGATAATGGTTTTACTAAAAGCTCTCAAAATCCAATGAAACAGGCAATGGATTTTAGAAAAAGCACTTATATTTGCAGGTATGAAAGGGTTTTTAAAAATTATTCAACTCACTTTCTCAGTAGCGAAAATTAAGACAGGTTGTTGAGCTTCCATAAAAGCTTCACTCCACCTAAAATCAGAAAGCTGTATGAACGTCTTCTAAATTCAAGGACTATACCTAAAGTCAGATCACTATTCCTTAGGCAGCATCTTGTTTTTAGCATATCTGTATAAATAAGATTTTAAAAACAATGTGTTGGAAAAAAACACCCAACCCCAAGATCTTCGTCTTTCAGATTTCTCCCCTACCTGCTCAAAAAAGGGAACTCTTCCATCATCAATTCCTCTGAACAAGAAACAAGCCCCAAAAAGCTGTGTGACTTACTTGATGACTTCGTCTGAGATAACATCTTCAATTTCTTGTTGTGGGGCTTCCAAAAGGACATCTAAAGTTCGAACACCACCTCCTTTGAACAGTACCACTGGCCCTCCACTGGGGAGAGAGTGTATTCTGTATACGTCAGCTGAAAGCTACAGAGAAAGAAACAATTTCTGTGTTCTTCAGCACATCACCCCGAAAGCCAAGTTTTATCTGTGATTTTTTTTTTTTTAAGTTCTTTCAGTAACTGAGAAACAGAAGAATTATGAACCTGGAAGTTTCCTAATAACGTAGGCCTAGTAGTTGCCCATTTTCTGAAATGGGCAAGGAATATCAAATCACTACCCAAAAAAAAGCCAAGGAACAGTCCCAATGAGCATCACTTTTCAGAATCACACCAGAAATAACATAACTGAGGGCAAGGAGTTGGAACAACTGTTACACAGCATAATGCAGTGATCTAAAACACACCTGCCAGCAGACCAGAGAAATCTCTGCCTGAACATAATTCACCATGTTAAAAGAAAGTCCTCTGAAACTTTGGAATTGGGATACAAATCATTAAAGAGTAATACTCTGATGATCAAGTCTCTCAGTGCATCTGGATTCCTTGCAATATTCCAGAACACCATGAAGCACAAGTTCAGACAAAGATCAGGTAAAACATGTTATTACTGCTATGAAAATTAACATCTCTTCCACTAGCAGGATTTAAAAATGCTAACGTAGAAGTGAACATACGCAAGAGACTTACCGTTGCTTTAAATACTTTGTCCAAGTTAATATCTGTGTTCTTCCATATTCTTAAAACCTTTAAGAGAAGTATCATTTTTTAAGCACAGTAAACAGTAATACATAGAATTCTCTGCACGCAAAATACTAACAACTGCACATCACTGAAACGTGGGAGGAAAATGAACAGGAAGTATTCACAGCAACCCTAGTGGAAATGGACCCGGGGGAGTTCACAGGGGCAGCAGCTGGAGTAGAGACATGAGGAACACCAACCAAGCTCAGAAATGTCACACTAGAAAGAAGGGAAGGAGTAAGGTTAAGGAAAACAATACAGAATTCTAAATGAAAGTAGATCAAAGTGGTGGAGACAAACTAAGATACAGATGACCTGATCTGGAAGAGAGTGTTTCAAGGAGAATAATGAAAGGTCAGGAAAGAATTAGTCAACAACAATTAAAAAAGCCCAAGGTTCAGCATGAGCTGAGCAAACACAAGGACACAAACAGGAAATGTTTAACTGTAAAACATGAGCAGAAGAACAAGGATGCAGAGATGAACATTTTAACCATTTCAGTATCAAACCCATGCAGTTCTAAACATCACCCAGACTGCAACAGAAGTAACGAGAACGTCTGTGAGAGGGATCTGTGACCCAGAAGGGCAGTTCTGACAGGCTGCTGCACAGCTGGTGCTCAGCACAGCCACCTGCACACCACTAACAGGAGAACACAGCAGGCACCTCAGATCCTCATCCCCATCCTCACAGCTGGGTGAGGTGAGCTGCACTGCACTGGCTGTCAGCAGCTCCACACGCTCACATCTAGCCAAAAGTCCAGCACTGCTGATTTCTTCCCTCTCTGTGCTCCCCCCACACGGTTCCCTACCTCCATTCAATGAAAAGACTCACTGCTTCCTTTTTGTCTTTTAAGAAAAGTACAGGCTCTCACCTTGTCATCATGAACAGCTATATACTCATGAGTTTCAAAGTTGCATACAACTGGACACGTGAGGATCTGTCCATGTTTAACCGACCAACAGCCAAGTGGCTTCTGATCTGAAACCTGGAAGGGTCAGAACAGACAGTGTAGTTAAAATACAGCCTGGTACACTCTGGGGGTTTCCTCATGACAGGAAGGAAATGCAAAGTAGCCAAATCTGGTCTGAATAAGTATATTAAAACATGGACACACAGCACTTCTGCTGGAGTATTCACGTTTCTGACTTCAATACCAAAAATTTCAGAACAACATAAACGAACTCTACACAGAACTATTTATTTTCACATAAGAAATAACTTTGCCCTGTAACAGTCCAGTGGGTTTGAGCCATGAAACACAGGTATGAGACACTGCTCTTCCACAGTGAGGGTCCTGCTGTTAGTCACTGTGTAAGCTGCTTTTACTCACCAATACAACCATGCACAGAGCAATGCTTTGACTCTTCCCAGTTCAATGTAAGTTACTGATACTAAGAGCAATTAGTTCTACTGTCTAAAATCATATTATAAATTATTTATATCCAGCTGCCCAACCCCCTCAGCCTCGAGCTACACTGGGCAAATTTACCAACATGTTTATGTTCTTGTGGAAGGTTTTGACAGTGGGACTAAAAAAACCCAAAGGAGGTTATGTCAGGAATCCACGAAGACACCAGCTCCACGCATGTGAAAGTCAAGCAGATATAAACTCAAATGTTTTAATAAAGTTTCTTGTTATAGTTACTGAAATATATGCCCAGATTAACAGATACGAGAACATGCTTTTAGTTCCAAGTGCGGCAAACTCAAATCTTTCATCCTGCAGCCAACAGGAGCAGCTGCAA